TCCACTCTGGAGCTTCCTGTTCCAGGATCAGGCTGGTTTACAAAAGTTTCCAGAAGGTCGTCATCGATCCACCGTCTGGCGTTTCAATCTGGTTTTTGTGTGTTTAAACGAACTTTTGTGTTGCAGTCGTGCAGCCGTCCAGCAGCAGGTCTTTGCAGGCCGCCGTGGATCCTGGACGACATGTGGTCGGAGGTTCTGGCGACGGAGATGAAGATGATGATGATGATGATGATGATGATGGTGAATCTTCAGGGACGACGCAGTGAGCTGCTGCTGCTGCTGCGAACAGGAAGAAGAGTTTGGATTCAAACTGTTTAAACCCGACGAGGCAGAAACCGGACGACGTATCTGTCATTTATAGAGATTTCACTGCTCGTTAGCTGTCAATCAAACGTCCCACTGCTTAATTAGGTTCATTATTACAAGATAAGGTGTTGTTTTGATGAGCTGTGTTGAATAAATCAAACATAATTTCACTAAAATGCAAAAGATGTTGATGTTGTGTTCATATTTTTATTGTCGATTACAGATAAAGTTCATGTGATCTTTGCTTGTGCAGATAAAACGTTTTTATCATGTTTTATAGCGGCTCAGTGACTAAACTTGGCACCAACGTCCTGTTGGGAGTTATCAGTCGACTCAAGGACGCTTTGATATCATCTGGAACTCTTCTTAGTGTTTAAACTGAAACAATGATAATAAAACGTGGATTTCATGGAGCTGAGAAACGAGCTTTGTCTCTGTTTGCAGCAGCGTTGGTTGAATAATGAGCCCTTCCTTGTTTTCTCCTCCTCTTGTTGGTGGCCTGAGTCAAAGAACCACCTCTGCACTATATAGCGTCAGCATCACATCTGCGCTCTGATTGGCTCCCTGCAGATTGCGTCACCTTTCCCCCAGCGGGAGGCCACGCCCCCTTCCCAGCCCACCGTGGACTCTGGTCTGCTGTGGGAGGAAGGACACTCTCCGGCTGCATGTTCACTATGGAGCCCAACCTGGTGACAATTTACTTTTTATTTTACACTTTATTTGTCTGTTTTTGCAGCTAAAAGAGATTAAAAGTCAGATTTTATTCTCCTGCTGTGGTGCAACCTGCTCATGATTCATGTTAAATTCAACCTGATGGGAAAACTGTGAAACTGGAGCCTCATGTGGAGGTAAGGTTCTGGGTTTTTTGTGTGTTTCAGGTGATTCTGGTGGCCGTTTCTCTGGTCGTGGCGACGGTGTTGTACCTGCTCCTGGGATCAGAGAAGAAGAAGAAGCTTCCTGTTACGCTGCAGGATCCAACAGTCAAATATCCACTTCCTCTAATTCACAAGCAGGTGAGCAGCAGAACTCACACACAAGCACTTTAAAGGTTCAGTATTTCCAGAAATAAAACTCCAGCAGTCATGAGATGTGGTGTGGACTCAGACAGGATAGTTTATATCAGATCAGAGTGATTGAATGGATCCAGCCGAGGACAGAGTTTGAATTACTGGTCCTTGAAAACGGAAAAAAGTGTGAAATCTTCAACTAATGATGATGTTGATCCCCAGAAGTTCCTGTAACTTTATATATATGGATCCATGTTTCTACTAAGATACAGTCTTTGGTATCATTTCACCAAAGA